ACTAAAAGCCATGATGATATCCCTGTTTTCCTTTTTTTGTTCCTTTCCCAAAACCCCTCCAACAAACTCATATGATCACTATTGAACACTAAACTTCCATTTTCACAGAAATAGGGCAAGCTCTTCCTTTTAAGTGGCAATAATTAACTTTCACCCCATCAGTGCATAAACAAATTAAGATTACCCCCCTGTTTTGTATTTATCTGGAACAAATTTAATTTGGCATTTTGCTGCCTGTAATTCAGTGTTAGAAGGACAAGCTACAATTCCTCCTAATTAGCTCTGGTGTTTTCTTCCCTTCTCCTTCAATACTTTTCTCACCAGATCATTTATGAATATGCTGAACAGGAGAGATTTAATGTAGATCCTTCTTCTTCACTTGTCCCAAACTTCCCTTCTCTGTGCTTCTGGAGTCATTCAAAACCTCCAGCAGCTATGAGCTGCACCATTTCCTTTGCAAAAGCCACACTGGCTTTCTGCTACGCTAAGTTGTTGGTCCATCTGGTTAGCTGTTTTTGTCTTCTACTTTTTAAAAAGGCACTGAACTGTGATATCCTGCTGAACTATCTTTAAGAACTGCTACCACATAAATCCTCTTCCATTTCTGTGGCTTCAAGGTATTGAGAAGTTACACAGTGTAATTAGTAATTCGGTCATTTCAGGCCCAAGTTTCCTTTGGAACCCTTGGGCAAGCACCATCTGGTCTTGGCATCTTGTAACTGTATTTATTACTTTGCTCTATAAACTACTTTGCTGACAATTCAAGCAGAGACAGATCTTCCAATGAGTCCTGCTCTCCATAAAGAGAATATGTGGCACAGGGAACCTCTTCGGACTCCTGGACTCCTCCACGGGAAACAGGAATAAGTCATTTCCTACTCATCGCTTCATCATCAAATATTTCTTTCACTTTTCCATCTACTGGCCCTCCGGAATGCTGAACCCTTCTTGTCTCTGATTAACTTGGATTTTTTTTTTTTTTTTTTTTTTAGTATGATGCTTCTCAGAGACTCTCTGGCAGGTCCTTGTATTTTTCATTTGACTTGCCAGACTTCACGTTCTTATTTACTTTTCTGGTCAACTTCTTGACTTAAACTTTCTGAAGGCTGTATTCTTATTTCTAATACTTTCTTTATCCCAAACTGCATGTTCATTCTCATCTGTCAACATTCCACAGTATAATTTAAAATCCTCCCAACAACATTTTCAATTTCAAGTGCAGAAGCCTAGTTCTGCTGTGGTTTACATGGAACCCAGCCTTTCCAAACAGCTCTTGGACTGAGGTTCAAAAAATGAGCCAATTCACTTGGTCAGCACCCAGTCAAGATCCCGCTGTGAGACAACCTTCTCACTTCACACAATTTCAACAGAGCAGACGGGAGGTGAAGAATAAAGAGCCTCCAGGTGTAAAATATAAGAAAAATGACATGCTAGCAAAGAATGCAAACAGAGATAACTGGTACTTGGACAGCTGCTAGTTCTTTCAAATCACTGACACAAAGGTAATCTTCCTTAAAACTGTGAAGATGAGGAAGAGGAATCCCTTTGTACACATCCACACAAGCAACCTGCTCCAAATGTGACAGTTCAGGCCAGGTGAGACAGAATTATTTATGGTTGCAAAACACTGCTAATTAACTGAGCAAAGAGACTGATTTGAGCTCTGTTTCTGATTAAAAAACAACAATAAAAAAGCAAGCAGAAAACCCACAACTGTCAGAGCCTGAGGAAAGCAAAACCTCATATTTGGTGTACTGCCCAATTTTACTGGGTATACTTGTAACTCTCCATCTGTTTGTTTTACAAGGGACCTTGGTCATGAAAAGTGGTCAGAGAAAGACAGCAAACCTTCTTCTGATTAGTTTAATTAGATGATTCACTTAGGAAGGACTGGCTGTTAGTTGTGGATGGCAAATATCTTAATTAAAAGGTGGTCTATAGATATTTTAGTTCAACTTTTATAGCCTCTAATGTCCTTTGCAAATGAAAATATGGTGATAGGAAAAGGACAGAAGTGAGGAGGGACAGGGCACTGCCACTCTACCAACTCCAATTAGCTTTTGTTACTTCATTCACTGTTCAGAATGAGTGGTAACAGATCCCACCAACACCAGAAGGCACCCAGACACCAAACAGTAGTGTAAAAGTAGTAGTAACTTAAGCAGTGTACCACAGACAGTATTTTGGGATATTTCTGCCTATTTTTGAGATTTACCAAAAAGTAATAAGCAACTACCTCTTTTTATTTAGCTACCCACTATTTATAGCAGGAGAGGAATTATACCAAAAGGCAAGGAGCAGAGAATTTTCATCATGCATTCAGGTGTGTGCAGGTGCATAGCTGTACCCTGGGGATGGAATGAAAGTCAGCTGTCATTTGGTGCATTTATTTTGCATTGCACCATTCTCTATTACAGTTTCACCCTTATTAGGTGTTTTACTAGGACAAGCTCATCGTGGATTAATTTAAGATTTCAAGGGCACACTTGCTGTACTTTATCAACATGCTAACTTCCTCAAATTCACCCAATTACACTTCTCCTCCACGTTAGTTCAAACTGCATTTGAAGACATGTTGTAAGGCAACAGAGCAGAACAAGAGAGAGATGAGATTTAGCATTAAAGGTAAAAGATGGTGACTGAGTGGAGACTTGGAAAGAACTTGATGATACCACAGCAGCAGGGAGTAAAATGTTACAGAAACTGAGAAGGTACACTTGGCTAATGAAAAGGTAGCCAAGGTCAGAAATACCTAGCACAGAGCAGACCACAAACATGGTGTGAAGAGGAGCCCACAAGGTTCTGGGCAACTTAAATACAGTGAGAGAAAAAGATTAAGTGTAAAAACCAGAAAAACCAAGAGTTACTATCAGAAAAATGAGGAAAGATTATGATACTTAAAAGACCCCTCCAAAACGTTTTCATTTGGAATTTGCTTATCTCAAGAGCCATCCCCAGTCCTACATCCTGGTGGCAGTTAAGATCATTTAGGATGTTTTTACTGTCAATTCCTGGCTCAGAGAACTCCCCGCCTCTGGCGCTTGGCTGCTGTGGCACTCGGCCAGAGCCTGAGCCTGGTGAACGAGGAGGGATAACATGAGAGCTGCTCAGCTCAGTTCTGCTGTGACTGAATTTATTTTGCCCCTTGTGTGACAGTGCATTCATGTCTTGAAAAATTATTTTTGAAAAAGCCACGTATTTTAGTGTTAAATGATACAAATCACCCAAATTTATGTCAAACATTTATGCTGAATATGCTGTTAAACACTCCAATGAACTAATTAAAGTGAAATAAGGCTAACATTTTTCTTTTTTTAAACATGCAGCCTTGGTCCAAATCAGTGCCAGAATTAGACTCCGTATATTTGAACGAGAAATGCCAGTGCTGTGTGGCTGGAGACCTGAATAAGACCAGAACAGGGCAGGAAGAAAGCACACATGTATCAGAAGAGCCTTCAACAGCAAGCAAATATTTTCACAATCTTTTCAGGGAAGGAAAGACTTAATATTTCCATACTGGGAAAAAGTCCCCAAATAAAGCCATCAGAGAACCTAATACTTTGAGTCACAAACAACATTTAGGGCACATAAAATTAACTTTTGAGATTTCTGAGACAAAAAGAAGATCAACAGAAGTCTGCTTCTGGAAGAAGTTCACCATTTCAAAGTCACACAGATGGCAGAATTGACACTTAGGCTAAACTCTGGAGGGGGGGAAAAAGGCAACAACAAACTTAACATTACCTAGGGAGGTCTTAATGTTTAATTTTCTCCAAATACTGTATCACACAGAGAAAGGGTGGTGGGAACCACTGCTCCTGAAGGGTTCCCTGCAACAAACAGGTGAACTGTACCAGGAGAGAAACAAAAGCTGGATATGAGGCAGCAACTAAAAACAAACAAACCCCTGTTCCAGACACCTCTTAAAGGGATATCAAAGTAGATGTGGGATCATTGGACTGGGAACAATACTTCATCTGAGGATCTGTAACAAGTAACTCTCCGGACCTCTGGCAGAAGTTTTGGGTCTTATTTTTAAAACCCAAACAGTAGTCTCGAGGTTCCTCTCGCCCTCGAAGGAATGGGTTTCCTGGCAGAAAAGGTTTATGCAGGGTGTCGTTTAACACCGGGCAGTTCCCAGCCCAGGTGAGGCTGTCGGGGCTCCGGTCGTGTCAAACCACCCCCGGCGTTTCCCCGGTCTGCTGCAGCCGCCCCACCAAAAAAACACCGCCCAAACTTTCCAGTTTCGCTCCAAAGGCCGATTCCTCCCCAAGATAAAAGTTCAACGGCGCACAAATCCCCGGCAACCCTTCCGCAGGCACCCCGGCGCGGCCCCATGTGCGGCGGGGGGCCCGGGACGAGCCCCGACTGCGACCCCCGGTGCGGGCGGGGCGCGGCCCCGGCGCTGGTGACGTCACACAACAAGCTGCCACTCACCGGGGCACCCCCGGTGCCGCCCGTGTCACCCCGCGGGGCCGGGGGCAGCGCCGCCGCCGCCTCCCTCCGCGCCGCCCACGGCCGGGCGGCGGTACCGTGTCCCGGGCGGGGCGCGGGCGGCTCCCGCGGGAGAGCCCCGGGGCCGCGCCCCTTCCTCCCCTCCCCCGCTCCCGCGGCCCGGAAAAGGCCCCGTTACCGGCCCCGGGAACTCGCGGAGGAGCCTCTCCCGCCAGCCCTCCCCTTTTGTGCGCGGCGGTGGCGGTGAGAGGCCCGGCCGGGCCCGGCCGCCCCCGCCCGCAGGCCGCGGAGTCCCGGCGGGGGCGGGCGGGCCCCACCCGGCGACGGCGGCGGGAAGGGGGGAGGGGAGAAGAGAAGCCGGCGATCCGTCCCCCCTCCCGCGTCCCCCGGTCGGCCGAGAGCCCCCGAGCCGCCCCGCCCTGCCGCGCGCGGCCGCCCGCCTCGCGGCCAATCGGCGCGGCCGCGCGCGGGGGCTGCCGGGAAGGGGCGCTATAAAAACGCCGGTGCTATTTACGCCGCGCCAGTTGGGGCGGTGGAGCCGAGGTGGTATTGGCTGGTGTCTGTGCTGCCTCTGGGGGAGCTGCCCGCCTCTCTGCGGCCTTGTCCCTGCCTGCCCCGTGAGGAGCCGTCCATGCTGGGTACGGCCCCTCCGCACCTACTGCGGGAAAGGCGGCTGTGGAGGGGATCTGAAGCGCGGTGCCCGGTTTGCCTGTGGGTGGTTTGTTTCCCCCTTTCTTCTGGTGGAGTCACACCTTGGGTCCCGTGTGTAGTTCTGGGCCCTCAGTTCAGAAGGACCTTGGAGAGCTGGAGTGGGTCCAGAGAAGGGCAGTGAAGCTGGTGAGGGGTCTGGAGCACAAGCCCTGTGAGGAGCAGCTGGGGGTGTTTAGCCTGCAGAAAAGGAGGCTCAGGGATGACTTTGCCACTCTGCACAGCTCCTGACAGAAAGCTGTAGCCAGGTGGGAATTGGCCTCCCCTGCCTGGGAACTTGTGATGGGTCTTAAACTGCGCTGTGCTGGACATCAGGAAGAATTTCTTCATAGCAGGGGTGATTAGACCTTGGAACAGGCTGCTCAGGGAGATGTGGGGTCACTGTCCCTGGGGGTGTTTAGGGAATGGCTGGCTGTGGCACTCGGTGCCATGGTCTGGCTGACATCCAGGAGTTTGGTCATAGATTGGATTTGATTACCTCAGGTCTTTTACAACCTAATGGATTCAGTTAAAGGTGGGTGGGGGCAGTGGTATCAATGTGCCCTGTTTGTCTGTGGGCCTGTTTATTCTAGTGGAGCAGATGAGTTGTGCTCCTAGCAGGCAGTGGGCTGTGCTTTTAGGGATGGAGAAAGCTGAGGGGCTCACAGGCAGCACAAAGCAGGGGCTGGAAGGGTTGGACTCACTGACAGCATCTCCTGAGCATGTCTGTGGTGAGCTTAATGGCAAGATTGCCCTTATCCCAGGGTGTAGAGCCCTGTGGCTGATGCACTGGAGGAGGAGTACTACTTCATTTTTTCCTTTCTTGCCCACCTGAGAAGCTTCAACATGTGGAACTGGCCTCAGGGGACCCAGGGTGGGGGCATCACTGCAAAGGGAATGTGTGCATGGAGAGGGTTGATGACAAACAGCCTCTGCCATATCTCAGGGCTCCCTTGCAAACAGGCACAGCAGCCTTCAGCTGGCACTTGGGGACAGCCTGTTTAACCTGGGCACTGAGAGAAACTGGTGCTGTGCTGCTTCTGATGCATGATCTGCAGTGTTTCTCCCCATTCCCTCATTTGACAACATTTGCATTGCCAGATCTTTTTATGGACTGCTCTGGTGCATGTAGAGGAAAGATGTTGCTTAGCTCCTCTCAGTAAGCAGCTCCCTGGGACTGGCTTGTTCTGTAAAGCACTGCAAGGAAGGTGACTTTTTCTTACCAAGCAGACATTTGATTCCACGTGGTAAATGGTTTTTACAGCTTGGTACCAGGTCTTGATGAATGACTGACTGTGCACAGTCAGAGGCCCATGATGGTTTATTCTGTGGCTGACCAGTACACCTCCACCTCTGATGCTGAGACAGAAGTTCATTTGCCTGAAGTCCATAGGGAAATTACCTGTGATTTGGACACTGGGTTGGTGGGGCTTGAACCAGAAATCAGTTATTTCTAGGCCAGAGGCTCTTTTCATAATTGTTTTTTATTACTGTTTGATAGAGATCCTTGTGGCCTGCTGGTTATTTTTCATGATCCATTGGGAAATTTGGCTTTGTTTACAAAACACTGTCAGGTGTTTTGATCACAGTGTGTGTGCTTCCTTTTCCTAGCAGTAGCTCCTTGCCCAAGGGAGAGCACTCATTGAATTTGGATGGGTCTGTGGCCCCAGGTCCTGCTCTCTCAGGTGGGTACTGTTTGGGCATGATGTTAATGAAAGTACTTCAGGAGCTGACTTTTCCTGATTTGGTGAATAGGTATCTTTTAATGGATTCAAAACTGATTTTAATCAAGGTAGCCAACAAGCTCTACTGCCAGCAATGAGGATCCTCAGCTTAACTCTCTGTAAACCACACCTTCTGAAGGAGTCTGTAGTGTGAACTTGCCATCTTCTCTTGTCTTGTGTGTGCTGTTGTTCAAAACAATGACTTTCATGATGGCCAGGACCCCAGTAAGTTTTTTGTGTCAGGGGTGAGAAAGTTGTAGAAAAGCTACAGAAGTGCATCAAACATGATGGTATATCAGTGTTGCTTTGCTCTAGGGCTATAAGCTGAGCAGTGTAAAGTACCTGTCCACCACAAAAACGTGGGTTTGTGTGTGCTGTAGAAAAAACAAAACCAATCAAAAAATCCTCAACAACCTATCCTTCCCAGCTGATTTGGATATCCAGCTCCTAATGTCAAGAACCTTTATCTGAACCCAGGTGGCTCAGATTAATAAACAATGAAAATTAGCAGGTCAAGCCAAATATGCCAAGAGACTTTCCTGTTTCCTCATATGTGGCCTAATTAAGCAAATGGGAACTCTCCCAATGGTGCCAATTAAAAAAAAATGTAAAACCAGCAGAGTCCAAACCAAAAGGAGATCTATTTCTTCCATGTAGGACATCAGTCTTCCTCTCTGCATAGTCTACACCACATTTAGGCCAAGTGCAGGCCTTGATGAATTTGGGTTTTGATCTGCCTCACAGATAAAGAATCCTGAAGGACAAGTCACCTGTCTGAAGTCCTAAAGGAAGTGGCCACCTTAAAAGCTAGTCCTTTAGCCTCCTCCTTCCCTCTTGCTGTAGCAATTAGCTCACGTCTGTCTGTCCATGGGTGGTAGTTTGCAGTTGAGCCCATGGGTGCTGTGATGAGTTGCTGTCATGAGAGCCCTGATGAAGGGAGAATTCCTGTGCTCTGGATAGGATTTTCACAGAAGAGAGAACTTAGTGTTCACAAAGATAGAAAATTCAAAGCCTTTGATATGCAGAGGGGGAGTGGAAGCTCCAAAATATGCTGGCCTCTAGCAGTGGTTGAAGAAAGGATGCCCACGAGCCCCAGACCAGTGCTGCTGAAGTGTCTGGCACAGGCACCTCCAAGGTGGCATTGGTCAGGCTCCCCTGTTGCAGGACTACTGCAGCAGGAGAAAGCAGCCCTGTGTTCCTGCTGAGAGAATCCTGGTTGGAAGGCCTTGAGGCTCAAGGAGCACCAGCCTTCCAAGAACTGTGTGTCTCCAAGCCTATCCTCTGCCTCCATGGGTGCAGCAAGCACTCTAAAATCCTGCAGCAAAGCCATCAGAGCACGCTGTGGTCTGTGCTCCCTGTCCAAGTGTGGATTCCTCTAGGTCTCCTCATGAGAAGGTGATTTACTGCCTGAACTGGAAGTTTATTTTGCATCCTTACCTGGGGTATGTATCCAGCAGGCTGCACCTCTTGGAGACCCTGGCTGGCTCTTGGGCACAACAGCTCCAGACTGCAGTGACTTGGACAAGCTCATCCCTTAATCCTAGTGTGACCCACCTTCCTGTGTTCTACAAATAGGGCACAAGCTCCTCCTGCAGTTCTGAAAACCTTTCCTATATTCCACTATCCTCTTGTTGCAAGTAATTTATTTTTCTACACAATTCTTTCAGCTTGTGTCTCAGTTGAAAGCTGAATTATTTAGCTGCACCAACACAGCAGCTTTGCTTTAAGCTTGTACATGGCATTTTGCTGTCTTTAAGTGAGCAGTAGCTGCTGTGGCAAGAACATGAAATGGCAACAAGTTTACTTTGTGGTGTGTTCAGAGAAACTTAATTGAATTAAAAACCCTATCAGAGAAATGTAGTTTGACTAACAGGCAGCAAACAAGACCAGTGAAGTTCAGTTTATGTTCAAACCCAAAATAATTCCAGAACTTTGAGTTCATAAATGGAGCAGAACAGAGAAAATTCAGAGATGTTTAGTAGACTCCAGCAATAACTCTATTAGACAAATATTAATGCTTTGTAAAACAAAATAATATAGAATAGAAAGGGAATAGAATATTTCAATTGTACAGTAGGGCATTTAATATTAAAATCTTCCTGTGCACTTTGAGATAATTTGTTTTCTTCCTCTTTTCTAAATTTAGAAATACTTGGAAGAGCTCTAGTAAATTTTGCTAGAAATAAAAGTGAAGTAAAACCCCTTTCCCTTTTAGTTTTAAAGGGCAAACAGAAGAGAGCATAATGATGCAACTTGATCCTGAAATAATTAAATTTCTACAACATTTTTACAGTGGCAAAACTGTTTTTTTTCTGTGAAGTGCCCATGCTCCCCTTTTCCAGTTTTGTTTCAAGAACCAGCAAAAAACACCTTGGCCTTAAGTGTGGGGCACAAACATTCAGCACGTGCAACACTTCACTTAATCGTAGGCTGTCTTGCTAGCAGAGGGAACACATCAGGGATAACAGCTAAGTTTTCATATGTGATTTCATCCTGCCATTAAATGCTCACTAACTCAAGTACTTTCCTCACAGTCAGAAGCAAAGGACCAGTGGGTACCCCCTCAGTGTGGAACTGAGTGGGAGGGACAGACAGACCTGCCAGTGACCTACAGGAGCCTGCAGTCTTGCCTGAGCAGGATGCTGCCTGTGCTCCGCTGCCTTCCTGCTGTCTCCTGCTGCATCCTGGAGAAGCCAAAGCACAGAAGGAGCCCAGCGGGACACCTGGCATGTGTTGACACAGCTGGCAGTCCTGCCCTGCTGCTGTGTAAGATTCCCCCTGATCAGCTGCAACAGGGCAGGGTGAGAGCTGAAGTTTTAATAGCGCTGGTTGTGTTTGGCTAGGGAGTCCTGTACCACTGGGAAGCTGTTCTGGAGACTCCCCCTGCCTGCATTCAAAAAATGTGAGAAAATGTATAATATCCTCAGTTATTCGAGTCCCCTGCTCCAAGGGACGCTTGGACAGACTTTTAGGTCGCTTTTATTACTTTCTGACAGAGGAGGGAGCTGTCAGCTCAGCATTGAGCTTTTCAGCAGGCAGAGATGCCCACCGGGAGCTGTCTGGGCAGCCCACTGAAGGGACACGTTCAGCTTGATGTGCAGGAGATGGAGCTAATTTGGAAGTGCTTAAATCTTCTGCTTTAAGTGCATGTATGGAGTGTTTGTGTCCCTGTACAATGAAAACCAGAGTAATGAGCCTGCAGGGACAGTGGGAGCAGTGGGCTTGAGAAGCTGTTTGGAGGTAGAACATTTGGCAGTAGAATCCTGCAGTTTTTGTTGCTGTAGCAGTGTCCCCGTCTGTTGTACCAAGAGTCCCCAGAAACCTGGACAGCACCTTCCTGTCCAGAGCCAGAGCACCCTCCTCTGTGCCACAGCAATGCAAGCAGCCCTTTTATCTGGGAGACCTGCCAGGCAGCAGAAACAGGCAAGGAAACAGCTACACTAAACTGGTCTGAGGTTGACTCAAGCCAACGTGGACTGGTCTGAAGTGGAATAACAACCTGATTCTATCTCGTGTTTCTCCTGCTACAACCCGCCAGCAGCCTTCCTGCCTCAGCCAGTGGCAGTGTTGTGAGGTATGGCTTAATTACAGCCCTGGAATAAAAAGAATTTCTTCATTAGATGTTGCTTTACAACTGCATCAGTCATCTTCTGTCCAGCTGCTGGTGGCAGAGCTCCAAGTGGGATGAATGGGGCTGGTTTGGCAGGTATGTGGAATGGTGGTGGTTGGAGCGTGCAGCTAGGCAGAGCAGGGTTAAGTCAGAAGCTCCCAGTGACGTTGCTAAATTCAGTTTGCCACAAAGATCTTTTTCTCCTTCTGCTGGAGCTGTCTTTCTGCAGTCTTTTTGCCTTCAGAAATGTGGCTCAGCCCCAGTTTCTGCGAGTCACAAGCATTCATTTGCTGGCCGTTGGAGAAAGGAGAGTGAGAAAATGTGGTGTCTGTGTTACATGTCTGGGGACTGGCTTCCACCATGCTTGTCCTGTGGCAGCAGTTAGGTGACAAAGATTGAAAGCATGTCTTCCCACCCAGGGTATTGTCCTTTATTTCTCAAGCCACAGAGATAATCCCTGTCAGATGACTCCATTTTAAATTGCAGTGAGACCCTGAACTGATGATTTAGGAGCACACACTCTCTTTGTTGTGGTTCTGGGTTTGGTGTGTTGCTTTGTGCCCAAGAAAGATAGATTGTTACTCAGCCAAGGCTAAATGTGGAGGTAATACCAAACGCTGTAGGAAATGGAATCTCTTCCCAGCCCCACTGAGCCCTCCAATCCCAAATTCTTCTTTCCCCCAGGAACTGGTGCTAGAAACCAGCAGCCTTTCCTCTGCCCCAGTTAATGTACCAGCATCGGCTTAGTCTTAATGTTCTGATCTGGTCTGGATTAATGGCAAACCTTGTGTGTTGTGTACAGCAGAGACTGACTCACATCAGCTCACTTGATCACTTTTTCCAGGAAAAATAACACTCAAGTTTGCCAGAGAACTGTCCCTGACACACTGAAATATTTGTGAATTCAAAGCTTTTGCAACTCAGAATGACAATTTCTGGACATTTTCCTCTAAAATCATTCATACTGAAACGTGAGGATTGTACAAAGAATCTTGACAGACTCTTCAGTTTGAGAAGAGTTTAAAATTGATCACTTGAACCAATAGGAGCCTTTGTTCTAGGTAGTAGAACCTAGACTCATCTCAGACTAATGTAGAGTTGCACAAAAACCTCCCAAGGAAAAACCAAGGTATAAACTTGGGATTTAATATCAATTAAATCTTGGGATTTAATTTCAATTTCATGGAGAGATTTTAAAGCAATATTTTAGCCTCAGTAACCTAGGAAAGGGCTGTATCTATCTGGAAAATACTGCTTTTCTCAGTGACAGACTTGATGTGGTCCTTTCATGCTGGCTATTTTTTTTTTCTTTTTTTTTTTTGGGCAAGAGGAAAAAGTTACAAGAGCAAACACTGCACAAACATAAAACTTCCTCTCTTGTATGAAAGGAGCAGAGGTTTCATAATTAAATGGAAAAAAAGACTTGCTTTTGGGCTTCTGAGTTTTGGCAGAAGCTCCTGTGGGATCTGTGTGACTGGCCCTCCCCAGCCTCTGCACAGTGTTGCATTTCTTTTCAAAAATAGGACCTTTGCTGGTACTGGAGTAAACAGAGGAAAATGTAGGGGAAATGCACCGGGAAAGGAGGAGCAAACTGGGTGTGACATGTGGTGGATGGCTCTGAGGTAACTGCTGCAGCAGTACCTCCTTTTAATTTACTTAGGAAGGCCATATCCCAAGGCTGGAGACCCTCCTGCTCTTTCAAAGTGATTCTGTAAGGGTTGCTCAGGTGTGGCTTACTGATCCTTGACTGGTAGCAGGACCAGAACCACCTCATAAACTTCGAAAATCTTGGGAAATTGATTTACCTGCAAAAACAACAAAAAAAATCAAAACATGCAAAGTTGTACCTGTGGCTGTGACACTTGGAGGAGAGAAAGGGGGGTCACATTGAGGTGGAATAATGTCAGAAATCCTCTGTGTTTAATAGCTTTTATTATGAATGGTGTGTCCACTACAACATGAGGTAGTAGGAAAAGAAAGGGAAATATGAAAGTATAAATAATCAGGGTTTCTGAAAGTCCTTTTGGAAGCCTTCTCCCTCCTCAGATTTACAGCAGCTCTCCACAGATGTTCTGTCATTGGAGGAGTCTCAGATGTATTTTTGCAAGACTTTTTTTTTTTTTTTTGCCAGAAAGAAGTTGAAAATCTTATACCAAAAATGTCTTTTGACTTTAAAATTGGAGCTGTTGTCGCAATGTAATTCTTTAGAGAGCTGCCAGAGAGGTTTTTAAAAGTGCTATTTATACATGTGCATTAAAAACAGGAGTACAACATGGCTATAAGAAATTAACTTTCTGGTTTTGAAGCTAGCAATTAAGGTTGGAACAAATGTTCCTGCTTGTTGTTCCTTCTGCAGTCACTCTTGTAAAACTAAAGGAGAGCCATTGACATGAAAGCTCTGTTGGTGCCATTACCGCTGGGCTGCTTTGCTTTGTGGAGTGCCAGACTCTGGTTACAATGACATTGTGCAAGGCTCTTAAAATCCTGCTGAGATCCCTGAATCCTGTTAGGGGATCCCTCATTAAAAATTCTGGAAGACAGTCTAAATTGTCACTTGCTGTAGAGAATGAGCTTGTTGACAAGTCCACATTAAACCCAGCACTTTTGTGAGCACACTTTGCAAACCCAGAGAGACAAAGTGTGGTGTGTTCCTGATTCCCTTCTTGGTTCTGTCTGTGTGGAAAATGGAAAAACACTCTGAGTAAACTATCTTATGTTTTCAGCAAGAAAAACACCCTAAACTTAATCTAGACTTCATGTACAAGAGAGGAGGCTATGAAAAAGGAGGAAGGAAGGGCCTGGTTGGCCGGCTTTGTTAATGTGTATTCTTTGGTAGCTCAAAGCCAGTGGAGGACAATCCTCAGGGTAAAGAAGGAAGTACACAGTTGTTGCTAAGGCAATGCAAGTTGACAGCATGCCACAGGAGGAGAAACAAGAGAATATTTCAATGCAAATGTCCCTATAAAATACATTTTTCACCAGGAAAAGGTGTGGATAGCCCCACATAGTGCTTTGTGTGTGTGTGTGACACACTGCAGTAGGAGGTAGCAGTATTCCCAGCATGGGCAAAGGGAGGTGCTGTCCTCTGGATCAAACACAGGTGTCTGTGAGGAGCATTGCTACCAATGTAGGAACAGATCCTCCTGAGCACTGGCCCCTGCCTGGCACCTCGGGAGGAATTTGGCCAGACCTGTTTGGTCGTGAGTCAAAGTTGTGCTTCCAAGTTCCAAGTGACTGGAGCTATAAACAGCTGAAAATGATTTTCAGGGGAGTTCAAAGATGAATAATGCATCTCTTCAGGCTTGTAAGTGATCTTTTATTCACAAAAAAAATCAAAGCAATGTACAAAGGTAGTTGCTGGCCTTGGGGACAGGAGTCTGAATGACTCCTTGTCATTCACAGTAGCTACCAGAGGTGATGTGACATCTGAAAGGAAGAGATGAAAGCTCCATTGCAATTTGTTAAATAAAAACCACCTCAGTATCTTGCTAAACAGATGATAATCAGAGATGCAGAATTCCAATCTGCTGTTTAGGGCTTTGATAGCAAAAAGAGGAGCTCATAGGCTACAACCTACAGATGTTTTTCTTCCATAACTTTATGGAAGTTTACTTGTAGTATCCATGGAAATTCCCCATGACAGAATTACTTGTCCTGCCACTCTGTGTCATGGCATTACTGAGTGTTTTGCCTGTCACTGCTGTCCATTCTGTTTGGTTTGATGGCTAGTTTTGTTTTAGCCACTGGATCCTACAACACCCACGTTTGTGTGGTTCAGGACTGGGATCTGAACACAAGGTGAGAATCTGAACTTGACCCTTCTGGTTTCCAAAGGCAGGAGGTAGGAAAGGTTATGTGTCTGTCTGAAAAGTTCCTTCATAACTTAAAAACTGCATTTAATTATGGGATCATTTTTGCTAATAGATCCTGGGGGGGAGGGGAGGGGATAGTTTGCTGTTTAGCATTTGTGACCTAAATAGACAGCCATAAGAATAATTTGCATATTTCTTAACACTTTTTAAGTTTGTCAGAAAATGTGTGTGCCTTTTCTTACTCTGTAACGCTGAAATTTTTATTCCTGTCATGAGGAAGAAACAGTGCTGTCCTGCAGTGGGAAATGAATGTAAATCTGAGGGCAAGCCCATGGACCAACAGTAAATCCTTCCATGCATCTCCTCTTTTGTCTTAGGAGAGGCACCAAAAGGTCAGGGGCTGAAGTGCTGCTGAGCTCTTCACACTGTTTGCCTTTCACAGGTCTGGCCCTTATGGGATGCCAGGTTGTATGTGAGCCCTTCCTGGTCTCACCTTGAAGTATTCCCATCAATAGCAGCTGCATTTCAACAAATGAATGATCTTTTACAAAATGTATCAATCGTACAAGAAGCTCCGCACTGGCAAATATTAAAAGTTTGTGTCAGTACTGGGTGCTTAGAGGTGGAATCCGTTATGCAGAGGGGTAAACCTGTCGTCTCTTGTGCAGCCTTTGTGAATGATTCCCAGGGAGCTTCCTGCTCCCAGCACCACTAACCCTGTGTTTAGGGAGGCCAGTGGCCAAAACCTTACTGACTTAAGTGAGCCACGCCCTGGTCCTGGCACACAGGACCAAGCAGCACTCAAACAGCCCTCTGTGCCCTCACTCTGTCACACAGCCCAGTCCTGCCCTCTGCCACCACAGTCCCTGCCCTCTACAATGTCTTTCCTCTGAAGAGGACCTACCAGGTGAGCATTTCCACGTGCCTGTGCTGCCTGCCTTCCAGTTTTTTCCACAACTGATGGTCTCCTTTCGTTGCAGGGAACAAAGTGCCAGTCTTGGTTCATCAACAGTAATGCAGAGTTGCTGTTATGGGCCTCCAGGAAGGACTTGGGAGTGGAGCCCATCTGTGTCTGTGCTGATGGAAATTCCTCAGGGCTGTGTGATCTGTTCTGGCCTCTTGCCTGCCCCTCTAGGGAGGGTATTTCCATGCACAGTTAGTCAGAGCCATTTGTGTTTTGCCATGTTCCCAAGGTGATCAGTATCCTTATCACATCTATTTGCTTACTGTGCACCTGAAGTGACCTTTGCAAACTCAGCTCACCTTGTCCAGCAGCTGAAGGCACTGAGAGAGGAAGGACAAGGAAGTATCTTGTCCTGGAGCAGAGGTCCAGC